AACAATTAATCAAACAAGGAGTTTCTTTATTTCCAGAAATGATATTTTATATCATTAGATATAAGCCTTTAGAAAACAAAGTGATAAAGTTGGTTTCTACTTACCCTTCTGTTGGACTGGACCAGAATCTTAAAAGAGATGGTTGTCTGGTTTTCTTGTTTGGCCTTAAATCTTCCAGGTCTCCTCGTAATCGCAACGACGCCATTGTGGTATGGCAAGCCGAATGGAACAATAATCGTCCGTACAATAACGTGCAGTTCCAACCCGTATTTTACGCGAGCGCACGTTTTTAACGTCACCGCGCGTTCTGGCTGGAAACGCGCGCTCGCGTAAAATACGGGTTGGAACTGCGCGTTATTGTACGGACGATTATGGGCCCAATTGGCTTGCCATATCCCAAAGGGGGGTGCGCGCGCCCCCCGCGCCCCCGCCTGAATCCGCGCCTGCAACAGTTTATTGAATCTGAGCTCAGATAGGTTACGTATCTGGACTGGTTAAAGGGAAGAAATTTATAGAATATAATTTTCTAAATTGTTATTTTGAGTCTGTGAAGACATTTGAAGTAGTGTAACAGTACTGAGACACTTAAAAAAAAAAAACTTGGACATTTTCTTTTCAATATTTTCTCTTTTATTTTTATTTATTTTTCCCAAATCATAATTTAAGTTTTTACTAAAATTTACCCATATATTTAAATTTATTTGTGTTGTGTCATAATTATTAACCAAGATTTAAAAGTAATGGTTGCATTCAAGGATAAAAAAGGAAAGATGAAAGGGGTTAAAAGATAAATTCATTATTCTTAGTGGGTTTAAATACAGAGTTGCATATATAAATCCTGCTAAGTGGAGGCACCGTTAATATCAAAAACTCTAAATAACTACATACAGTTAAAAGACTATTTCTTATTATTTCTCCTGTTTAACAATATTAGTTGTAAGCAACGTACCCAGGGCCCTACCTATAGTAGTACCATAACATTAATACAGAGTTAATGCCTAACTACTTGGGTTGGGTGCTACACATACACACCAACTCAATGGACGGACGATCTTTAGACTTAGACAACTTTTATTGCAATTTTATATATACTGAGTGTATACACAACAAATTTTGTTTTTTACAGTTTTTAGAACATTTCCATTCCATATAATGCAGCACTGATTAAATATAAACATTTTGGGAGAGAAAAACAACACATTAATTATATGTGGTGCACGTGTGTATTATTTTGGTTTGGTAGTATTGAGATGCAGAGTCAGTGATTTAATTTAGAGTTTTCTCATAAGTTCATTTGTCTGATGGCAATGAGGAAGAAGCTGTTGCTAAATCTGGTGGACCTGCATCAAATTCCCAGAGGGCAGCAGGGAGAACAGTTCATGGTGGGGTGTGAGGGGTCATTGATGATGTTACTGGCTCGATCTGACTGGATGACCTCTGGCTGAGAGCTGTCATCATCTAACTGAAACAAGGGGTGATACGAAATTCTACAAAAAAAATTGTATTTACCGCTCAGTAATTTGTGGATCGTCATACCACGAGTCCAGCGCCGGGAGACCCAAAGGCCCAGACATCCAAAGGGACCCCAAGAGCGAAGGCACCAAGGAGGGGCCAGCCCAGGAAATCAGACCAAGGGAGGAGGTGATACAGCCCCGAGGAAGTCCCACAGCCACCGCAATGCCGGCACCCCGGAGAGCCGCGGGGACGAGTCCCCGGGCTCCGCCGGCAGCCAGCCACCATGAGGTGAATCTGGCCCTGGGCCCCAGGGATCCAAGGCCCCAGGGGCGCCCAAACCCCAGACAGGAGCCCCAGCAAGGCCCCGGCCGGCCGGGCCCCACGGAGAGGCCGCCAGGACTGAGCCAGCAGCCATCCGGGCAACCACCCCCAAACCCCGAGCTTCACCAGTGCACCGGTGAGCCCCGACGCCAGCCAGCGGAGGGAGAGCAGGATGAGGGGAATGGGCTCCGCACTTAACGGAGACTTGAGATGGGTTTGGGAGAGGGTGCGGTTGAGACCCCAACCTGGGAAAAAAAAAAAAAAACACAAAAAGAGAAAAAAAAAAGCTCTCAGTCTCAATCACGCCTTCCCAGCCTAGTGCCCCCACTCACGGCATTCACGGACACACATTCACACATAACACTGACATCCAATAATACCAGGACCAAAGACCCAGCGGCACCGGTGGTTGGTCCCGGGAGTATCGGATGACCCAATAAGTGAACCTTTCATTCCTGCTTCGAGCCCGGCCCCCCACCCCACACCCGGACCAGACCACCCCCAGCAAAAGCTTTTGGTCCCGGGATTATCGGATGACCCAATAAGTGAACCTAAAATCCGAATGGGGGGAAGGGAAACGTAGACACCGCCACACTAACCCATCTC